ACAACATTTATTCATAAATATTCAGCTAAACTCTTAACTGTATACGTTTTAACTCTTCACCTCCAAAGTCACTTCCCTCTCCTCCGCTCATCGCCTGTGAACAGTACTAGCGCTTGCTTCTTCAAAGTGTACTCACTTCAGCCTCAATCGCGGATTCTATACGAGTTTTCTATGAGCTACTAATCTACCTATAAATCTTTTTTGTGCAAAAATTACCTGCGCTTCGGTCTCTCTTTTAGGCTAAGTAAAATAACTTTAAAGTATGATACTCCTGGCTGGACCCAGACTATACATTTTAAGCAACAGTCAAATCTGTCCATTTTACAAAATTAATTACTTAAAAAAGGGATAATTTATTCTTCGTGCTCACGTGGGTCTTGGGGGCACCATAGGAGGAGGGGCTATTGATTGACTTCCAATAGAGATTCCAGATGTTGCACCACCTGATAATGAACGATTACGGTCTGGCGACTCCCCACTTGGGCTCTGACTCGAGTCCAACTTCATCGGAAACTGTGCTGGTATACCAGTCTCCAGTCTAGCCGATTTAGACAAATGATTGCTTTTCCGAAGTTCGGCTGAATCATTGTCGACGAATGATTGGCCATAATCTCTAGCCATGACCAACTTTGGCTCTGATATAAATTCCGACTTCAGTCCACCATCGAAAGCAGTTGGGTGTTCATTCTCAACCAAGAGCTCCATGCTCGATTCGCACAGGTAGGCAGTATGCGCACGAGTTGTGATACGATTTATGTCAAGGACAGCATTTGGTTCGCGAAGAGGCACGGTCTCAGAGCAGGAGTCTATTTTAGACAAGGCAGCTGAATGAGATTCAGTGGCATCATATACAGACATGATGGGCGGCCTGGGGGCGGGAGGTTTCTTAGCTACGTAATGAGGTGGAATAATCAGGTTAGAAGAGGAAACAGAGGTGGTGGGGACGGTCAGCAACGAAGGGGATGACGAAGACGAGGTTGCGCAGGTTGACGAAGGCAGTGGAGGGAGGGAGAGGGAGTTTGGTACAAGCGAGGAGGCGTTCAAGCCAGAAGCGTTCACCAGGTTAGTTGGAGTCAGGGATTCAAATCCAAGTCTAGCGTTTATAACAATGCCGGATGCTGCAGGAGCGAGTGGATTATGACTCGCTTGCATGTGAGGACTGAGGGAGGGGCGTGACAAAGCAGGCAGACGATTCACATAAGGAAGGTTTGGAGATTGAGTAAGGCTGTGTTGTCGAGGCAGGAAATAAAGGATAGTAGAGAACAAAAAGAAGATGTAAAGAGATTTTTTGAAATTAAAAAAAAGCTAAAATTTACTGTTTACATACTACCAATAGATCTTGAATAAGGACAATATTCACCCGCGACTGCACAAGGTAATGATGGACTAGAAGTTAACTGTTCCCACAATTAGATGATTAGGCCTCACGATGCGAGTGAATTTCATTTAGCCTTGCCTCCCAAAAGGAATCCTTATCTAGAGTGGAATACAGTTAGGACCTCGCCTCGGTCTAATCCGCAGATCCCAATGGGAATCAAACCCTGATGAAGAAGTTGTTATTTTCAAAATATTACCACTATTTCAAACTACCACAGGTGGCGTGTATTTCGAGGCAAGCTAGGCTTGTATCAAACAAAATTGTGTAGTGGGACTGTCAATTGCCGTTTGCCTTTACTGGAACATTCTATGCGGCAATATTGCCGATTGCTTCAGTAAAGCCTACCAATAGCTTGCCAAGAGAAATCCGCCATCATCTTCTAATGGGATGTCTTCGAAACACAATTTCTCTAGAAATGGAAGTGAGCTCAACAAATATAAACCAAGAGAAACCAAACTTTTCTTCGCATGTACTATGAATCTGTAAGAAGGGCCTTTTACATGAATATGATCTATATAGAACAAAATTAACAAACCAAAAGATGGTCAGTATTTGAAAAAGAATTCAAAGTTGGTTTAGTAGCATGCACGGCAAAAGATGTATATTTGATCACCTAGCCGCTTCATATTAGGAAAAAAAATGTTTACACAAACAACTTTCAATGACAAGGAGTAAAGCTAAGAGCAAGTAACTAAACTAATTATAGTAATAAAAATGAAAATAGGTGCACAAAGTTGTATGCATCCGGAAAATTATGCGAGGAAGTAAAACGGATGAAAGCACATAGGACAGTTAAGGCTGTACCCTATGAAGAAGGTCAACAAGACAACGTTTCTGCAGAGTTTTAAAATAATAAGATGAAGAGGGAATAGGTAAAGTAGATGAATAGGTAGGAAAGAACAAAAATGGTATCTAGAGAAAAAATGAAGGCTATTTTATCTAGGTATGTAAGGGCTTATTATAAAACGAATGATATTCGTGATGTCTTCCCAGCAGAAGCCAGACTAGAAACTAATATAAAAGTCGGTAGAGGTCAGGAGGTGAAGCAAGTGATGGTAAGCTGGACAAAATTCAGTCAACTAACTGCTCACGCAAGCAGAAAAAAGCACAGAGGGAAATCATTCCTCCTTAAAACCTCCTTTCCCCGAAGTGCCTAGCTGAAAATACTGCATTGGAAAAATCTCGGTTGGACATAAAGCTAAGAAAATATGAAACATTATAAACCCTATACATATGAAAATTACTGTTTAACAGACTATAATAATAGCTTTATAATTTTGGATGCAATTAGGCTAATTCTGCCAACCTAGCGAAATAGCCCAAAGGGAAGGGATAAAAATTTTTTTAGGGGGCGCTCG